TTTGGTTTACATATGGAGGCAAAAGATCACAAAGGTAGGATGGTGCAGTGTGGGTAACAATTTTATAAAAAAAGGATAGCTTATGAATATGTCTCCTAGTTTTCAAATCTTCCCAACATAGTTCATCCAATAGACGATTTCTATTTGTTCCCCCTTATTGCACCAGTAACAATGCGAGCTGATTTGTACTGAACTGCTTCTAAAAGATTTGCTTCCTCTATACTACATCCGTCCCATATTACATCTGCATATTCCATTAAGGGTCTAATTAGACTTTTATATAAGCATATCAGTGTTGACCTTTTAAGCTTATATTTAACCCTTTTTAATGCGTTGATTCTTTTACTAGCTTTTTGATGTATGCTTAGAATATGTTTTGACCAAGAGAAATTTGACGTAAATGTTAAACCTAAATGTGAATGAGAATCAACTTCGCGTAATGCAGTGCCATTTAAGTATAAGATTGGCTGAGGAAGTCGGTTATGTTTCGTTGAAAATGTAATACTTTCGCACTTAGTAGGATTCAATTCCATCAACCATTCCATACACCATTGGTTAATGCTATTGAGATCCTCGTTTAGTCTAGAATCAAAAGATGATAAATTATCAACAATTTCAAGTAAAGATGTGTCATCAGCGTAGAGAAAACAGTCAGATACAATATTGCTGGAAATATCATTTATGTATATTAGAAAAAGCAATGGCCCGAGCACTGAACCTTGTGGAACACCAGCTTCAACACTCAGCCAGCTCGAGCATTGCCCCTCAATGACAACTCTTTGTTTTCTATCAGACAAATAACTACAAAACCAGCTTAGAAGTGGGTCTTTTACTCCAAGAGATTTTAATTTATACAATAAACCTTTATGCCATACTTTATCAAACGCTTTGCTAAAATCTAAAAACACCATACGGACTTCTTTACCCATTTCTAGAGCTTCATAGATCTTATGAACTATATACGTAAGTTGGTTCACAGTGCTGTCTCCTGGTCTAAAACCGGACTGAAAATCATTAAGGAATCTAATGTCTAATAAAAATTCATATAGTCTAGTGAATACAATTTTTTCTGGTATTTTGGATATAGACGGTAAAAGTGATATGAGACGATAGTTCTTTTTATATTGATGATCATCTTTTTTATAGACAGGAGTTACATTTGCTTTTTTCCATTCAGTTGGATACTCTCCTATTCGGAGACTTGTGTTAATTAAATATGTAAATGTTTTGGCAATTCCGCGGCTACATAATTTAATAATTCTATTGCCAATACCATCATGACCGCTAGCTTTTGTAATATCAACTTTATAGAGGAGATTAATCACTTCTTCTTCTGTTGTTTGAACTATAGACAACGTTTTATCTGTGTGATTAGGATAATAATCTAAGACTGGTAGTTCATGATTTGTGTCATCGACGTTTGCTTCACTTACAAAATATTCATTAAATAAATCCGCTTTTTTTTTGTGCATCGCAAACAATCTGAGATCCCTCCCGTATAACTGGAATTGATACACGGCAATTATTATTAAAAACTGACTTAACATAACTCCACCATTTTTTTTGGCCCAAACGAAAATCTGATAATTGGATATTTAGTTTATCATAATATTTTATTTTTGTTTCTCGAATCAGAGTTGTCGTGTAATTCCTTTGATCTTTATATTTCTTCCACAATAAACGAGTTTTTTTCTTAGAAAATTGCTTTAAAATTCTATTTCTTCCATCTGCAGACCAAGCTGATTTAATAAAACTTTTCTGATCACGGGCATAATTAAGCAATTCAATATTGAACTTAGTTAAATCTTCGTTAATATAGTATTGTGTACCTTTCAAAAGTTTGCGTTGCCTACAGATTTCCGCCTTTGCACTATACGATTTAAACTTTCACCGATTTAAACGATTTAAACTTTCGCCTTTGCACTATACAATTAGTAAAATAGACAATATAAAATATATTGTTACAATCATGCTATCAAAATTCCAAAGTTTCACACAGTAAAAATATCAATTATCATGGTATTACAAACTGATACCATCACATCAGGAAACTTGTCATTAAATGTCCCATAGCCTTGTTGGTTTAAAATAAGTTGAAAGCCGAAACCTTAATCTCCTCATTTTTCAGGGACATCTAATCATTTTCCTCATGTCCTTGTATCACTTGTAATGCATTAAATTTCTTTTACATATAATACTGTCTGACATATTTAGATTTGTTATTAAATAATTGTTATCACCATCTGGTTGTAGTTTTTATCCAAAGATACTAATTAAGGTAATCATAGTTGTGAAGGTCCAATAAATATATTCTACTGGCTAGGTATAACACGCCTAAAATTCCAAGCTATATTTGCTTGATCCCCTTTTTAAAATATGTTAGTCAATGAAGAAAAAGTAACAGAAGTAATTAGATCCCAGTTACACTATACCGCATCAGAGCAACTTCAAATTTTACTGTTTCAAACTTTCAAGGTGAGTTTAGGATGTAAATACATGATACCACAGAATAAAAAATAAGTAAAAACAAATTGCGTTGAGAACAATCAAGACCAGAAAATGCCCTAAGTTGAACTCACTCTGATTGCAAATCTGATATACTGTAACTGGACTGTTAATGGTCTTTCTACCAATATATTATATGCCAGTTGACATCCCTGGCTTGGCTTGAACTATCAACATTAATTGTCACATAGTTTATCCATCACCAAAAACCAATATTTATATTAAAATTCCAAACTTTGGAAATTATAGTAAAATTTAAATATTTAAAAAATGTGAATTCTAGGCTAATGCAGATTAAATACTAGTAATTCAGTTACTGAAGTAAATAGCAAACTCCAGAGTCTAAAGCTACACACAGGGGCATAGGAACCGGGGGGCACGTGCACCCTCTCCAAATTTTTTCAAAGGACTAAAAGTGCCCTTTTTGTATAAGCTAATGTCGCTGTAAATACTAAATTAACATCAAAGGTGCCCTTTTTGTTTGCCAACATTTCTGGGAAAAAATTTTTAGGTGCCCTTTTCAATATCTATCCTAAAATGCTCCTGGAAGCCGGTGCCCCCCACCCCCAATCTTGAGATGCTTCCTACGCGCCTGGCTACACATCTCGTATATAAAGTTTGTAAACATCATAGGCATCGAAAAGAATGGATAAGTGGGGGAGGGGCATATTCATATATTCGTGTTCACAGACCTTAAAACAATAGATTTGAAAAGAAATTAATAATGCAGAACACAAATATATGAATATGCCCCCCCCCCCACTTATCGATCTTTTGAAGTCTATGGTAAACATAAAGTTTTATTTGGATGGTTTCTTCCGCTTCTTTACGGGCACATCACTGACTTGACTCCACTTCTGCTTCTCGTATCTTCCACCAACATTGCCTCTCAATACTGGGGCAATATCTCTCTGGGCCGCAATGGTCAAGTCATTGTACCCAAACTGCTGTGCCGTTGGGTTGTCTGCACGTCCACCTTTTGCTCTCTGGTGTCCGAAGTAATCTTCCAGCACATCTTGCATAAAACGCTCACTCAATACATACTTGAACCCTTCAGCAAGCAAAAACTGAATAGCCTCAATGTGTGAGTGGACATAAATCTTGAGGCCTTTGTAAGTTTGTAGCGAAAGAAACATCTTACCCCTTTCATCAGCAGTGTAGACTCCCTCTCGTTGCATGATGCTCTCTCTCCACTTTTCCAAATATTGCAGGAAGACATCCTTCAACCAAGCAAATCTCTCATCATCTTGGGAAGTGTAAGGTTTGATGAAATGATTTCTTCTTCTAACATGCTCAGTCAATGACCTAACATTTGTGCAGTCGAAGAAATCATTCATCATCTTACAAAATTCAGCTGTACCAAGAACATCCTCGTCATCTTTTTCTTCCAATGCTGTTGCAACCGACTGACTAAGAACTTGCGTTGCTAACTTCACCTTCATTTTGCTGTATGAAGTGAGGACTATATGATCCAGTGACAGCTTTGGCAATGTGTGCAAGGCAAATTCCTGGTCACTGTAGAAAAGGTCAGCAATGTGTTTGAACATCAGGTATCTGCCATTGTTCCACATCAGACGACTGCAAGAACCTGAACCCGAGTTGTATAAGCAATTCCGGGCAGTCTTCATTAAATGGCAGGCATCAGCAAAAAAGTAGATGAAGCGAGTTGTGGCAAAAATATTGTTTACCTTGTAAACAACATCACAGTCCGAGTCATTCACATACTGGGAATGGAGTTCAAAGAACTTACGATTAGGGGATGCTCCATCGTTGACTGCGGCAATGACCCAGAGGTTTAATGACAACTCAAGCACTCCTACAACTTTCCAGAACATAGACATTATCTGGTAGGAGGTAACATTCTCGGTAAAATAATATGCAATGACATGCTTGATGTCACTGCACATTCCTCTTACCAAAAATGCAAGTGCATGAGTTGCCATTACATCTTCTTCACCGAGGCTGGCATAATTGGTCATTGGGTCCCCAAGATCAACAAACCCAATCAACTCACCAGAATACTTGTCAAAGACGAGGTTAGACTGGATTTTCATCTCATCCATCACCAACACCAGATATCGTTGAATGCCTGTTAATGCGGCAGCTTTCTCACGTAAAGACTCAATGTTCTCCAAATTTATGCCAGCTTTAGGCTTAAAATAGTTCTTGTAATCACGAAGAACTCTCTCACTGGGCAAAATCAAAGCTCCACTCTCTTGTAATTCTCTGTACGCAGCTGCAGACTTGCCATGCAAAGACAATGCAAAGCGAATAACTTGTGGGTGGTATCGTCTTCCCATTTTTCGAGTTTGCAACAGTTTCATCTGCTGCTCCCAAAAAAACTTCATGTGAGGAGTACATTCTAGATTCTGTCCTCCCATAATTTTTAGAATGTCATTTTCAAGAGCATCACTAATTCCTACCCCGTCTTTTTCAATTCTTTCCTCCAGCAGTCTGACTTTGTCCTCCAACTGCTTGCACTGTACGCGGGACGCTTTAACAGTTGCTACCAGCTTTTCTGGGCCACATGCAGCAAGAGAGGCTTTACTTTTTGCTGGGACTGAGGAAACCTTTCTCTTTCTAGCTTCTGATTTCTTTAAGGTACTACTGGTCATGGAGCATGGTTTGCACTGTTCTTTTGAAATGTTGTCCAAAATAACATTGCAATTTGGGGAACGAAATGTCACATCTGACTGAAAATGGGTATCACAAATCGATTTGGGAACAGAATGTCAAATAACAGTGGACTGAGTGAAGTGGGACAACTTTTCATTCCAAGTTGGATCAACTGCTACAGTTGTAACAACATCAAGATCTTGTGGTAAGCCTTCACAAAGGTTAGAATTTGTGACCAACTTTAGCATTTCTATGGCATCGTCCAAGGTTTTGAGGCATTTCTTTCCTTCTAATTGGTATATACTGTGGTTGTCTGGAATTGGCCAGTTGTATACATATGCAGTAAATTCTAACCTTTCATTTACACCTATTGTAAATTTTGGGATGCTATGGGACTCGTCGTAGTACTCGAACTTCGTGCCTTCCTCGCTACGAGCTTTCACCGTCCAGGGTAAAATATGCTTTCCGATCATATATTTCTGAAGATCTTCGAGCGTTAATGTCGGCGATACATCGGATGAGGACGTTGATGGCGTGTCAGCAACACTGGCCGTGACTTTGTCATGACTTTTGGTCGGCAAGTTCTCAGTGGGAATGCTTCCAGTTACTAAGACCTTTCTTTTTGGATCTTAAAGTAAAATTAGATACAGCAATGAGCAAATTTTGATATGCATGAATAGCCCTTTGTTCTAGTCAATCACGAGTGTAAATATAACAAGACGCACAAAATGCAAACAATAATACTCACATGTTAGAATGCATTCAGGTTTGAAGTGTCTTTCACAAATGTAGATGTTGATTGCCTCTATACTTTTCTTCAATTCTGGCGATGATTCTCGGGTTCTTAGAATTAAATTTAACCAAGCTTGTCTCGTGTTGTTTTTCAAATCAGACGTTTCCTTGCTTTCGTCTGCGCGAGCGGACCGGTATTTTAAACAGCGAAATTCCATGTTTTCGGCTCGTTGGACAGCCATAAAACGCACAATTTTCGCCAGGCATGGCTTTTAACCCGCCATACAAACAAATAAATAAAACAAATACTAAAAGGAATTTTTTTAAATCCAATATTTTAACGCTGTTGATAGTGTTCGCTCTATAAGGTCGCAGTGGAATTTCCTAAGTGATGCAGGCATGGGACCACGTGACCGAAATATATTGGGTTGAATAACATATTTATCACGTGACCTGGCTAGCCTAACCATTTCCCTCGATTAACTGTGGTTCCATTGCACTCTGCGAGTGCAATTGTACTATACGTTTTATTCCATTGCACTCTTTGTGTTTTCGATAAATCGCATCCGTCAAAATGCTTCACGTATGGTGATCGCAGTTTATTTTAAATTAACCCGATATGCGAAACTCAGTAAATGGGATTTAATGCAAATACGACTCGTCAAAATGGCGGGAGCTGACAGTAAACCTTTTAATATTAGTCTATTTTGGTATTATATAAAACAAATAATGATTGTTTTTATTCGTGCAATGGTAAGAATATTTTCATTCGGTGAAAGATTGGAATGTTCCATTCAACTCGGCTGTCGCCTCGTTGAATGGAACATTCCATCTTTTACCGAATGAAAATATTCTTACCATTGCACGAATAAAAACATTCATTATTTGTATACTGTATCCATACTATTTTTGTACTATATCCATAGTATGGAAATTGCAATTAGTATGAAAATTGGATTTCCATACTATTTCCAACAAAAAAAATTACAGTGCCGTATTTCGTTGTTTCCTTTCCACTGGTCCGATTGCTGAGCAGAACTAATAACTTTGACACAAAAGAAAATGCCACCATACATTAGGATACGGTTGAAGCGAAAAACGGCGTTAATGGTCTATGGGTTTCCCATTCCTATTATTATGTCTGTCATTCCCACTCCCAGACTCCCAGTAACCCAATACGCAAATCTCAGTTACCCATGCATTGTCCCATTTTACCCCAACAAGACATAATATTCAAATAAGGACGTAATTAAATGGTTCTGAATCTAAGGTTTAAGATAAGCAATGTATTTATTATTCCTTTTATAATAAGATCATGCCATCATGGATGCTGTTTTTAGGTTAAAACCTGAAACGGATTATCCCAGAGCCTCGCGTTCCTTCCCGAGGATCGCAGGCTCGGGGAACGAGATTGCCCTTCTTGAAGAGTAAAATTGTCTTGCATTAGTCAGAATAAATAAGTATATAATATGGAATGCATTGCAGCTTGGGGGGGGGGGGAGATGGAACACTGCAAATGATTGCATCCAAGTTTGCAAATTGTTTTCCCAGTTGGCAAAACATGTAGTTGTAGGAAAAAAACTAAAATATTGAAGTGAAACTGATTAATAACTAATAATTAATTATAGCTCGAACTTGGGGACAATACAGAAATATTAAGGAAAAACTAAACAAGTATATGTCAACCCAAAAGATAATGAAAAATATATGACTGGAATTTTTTTATGTTCAGGTGCAAACAACACTCCCCACTCGCCAAGAATTTGGGGAATAGAAATATTAGTTTGGAAAAATATTTTTTATATACCCAGCTAGCACAAAAACGTCCTCACAACGTTTTTAGAACGTGCAGCTTACGTTGGTAAAACGTTGTCTCTTTACGTGCGCTGGACGTGTTTTTGTCGACTCCAGAGGATGTTGTCACAACGTTGTCAGTAGCGTAAAAAGAACTTCCTCACAACGTTTTTAGAACGTTCCGCTTATACGTGAAAAAAACGTTGTGAGTTTACGTGCGCTGGACGTGATTTTGTCGACTCCAGAGGACGTTGTCACAACGTAGTAAGACAACGTAAGAAAGAACGTTTTCACAACGTTCATGAAATGTGAATTTATTCAAGCAATTAATGCACTCATACAACTTTTATATAACGACATATATTTATTGCAGCGAAACGTTCATACATAAAAATACATACATATAAATACATAAATCATAATATAATATAATATAATATTATTTACGTAAATAAAGATAAAGGAGAAAATAGTGCAAGATATAGATATTTATGTTGGTAGAATACAACGATATTTGGACAAAGGTAATATAGTCTAGAGATTATAGAAGCTAAAGTGAATTTTGTCGCGCGAACAGACTATATATTCTTTTGGCTTATGAGCTCTCTGCTCAGTCAGCTGGAACTTATGTAAAATTACTTATCACCTTATGATAAAGTCTTCTAAATTTTAACCATATATAAATGTCGTTTCGCACGAAAAAATTCGCTAGTGGAAAACCGGCATAAAAGAACGTTATACTTTCGTGCAACAGACTCGAGTCACTCTTTATTTTGGCCATCTTTACCTGCAGACGCATCAGCCGTTTTCTAAAAGTGCAAACAATTTGCATGTTAGAAACAGATACTTCACTGACTCAACGGATTCGATCGTGCTCTGAAATATAAAAGTCGCGCAAATTTTCCAATACGCTATTGGTTTTGTGTTGGAAAAGATTCAATGAAACGAATTCATAAATGATTGTATAACAACAGCCATGTACGTTATTTAGCATCTTGGAAAAAACAAACACAAAATTATTCAAACTAAGCGCCTTATATATTCAAATTTCCCTATAGTTCTCATGTTACAGGAATGTTTATGATCAAAAACGAGTATATAATAATATGCAACAAACATGTTGAATGTATGCAGTTAAAATATGATAATACTCAGATTAAGAATCCATTTTACTGTAATGCAATGTATGAGCTACAATATTTACCGGTTTTTAAGACATGCCCTTTCGAAAAAATGCATCATGCTGTGTCCATGCCATGAAAGCTCTACTATTGTGTTTAAAATTTCTCGTTTATTAAAGGAAAATATCAAAGGTCAACTGACAAGACAGCAATACAGTAAAAGCATATAACCAAACAGCAAAATATATATTTACATTCGGACTATAAAGTCGTGGCGTTCCGCGTTCGTATGACACAATTTACTGGTTTAAGCAAGAACGTCAACAACAAACTGTCGGAAGGACTACATGAGAGGAAATAATCAAATGTTAGAAAACCTTGAATGGACATTCCACGAAGAAGAGATACATTACATTAGAAGAGATATATTTACTGTTGAACATATACATACCTTCGAACGTGTATATGAAAATCGAATAATTTCTTCTGTAAACTTTGCCTCAAAAAACTATACGCTCAGGGAACAACGTGCGCAAATAAAATACATTGCAATTTGAGAATAGAATAAATTACGCACATTTGGCTCAGTCGATGTATGAACAGCGGTAATTACACGTGTACCTTGCTCTGAAAGTGTAATCCTTTTCAAAACGTTTGGCTACGTGTTCAAAACGTTTTCTCGACGTTGGTGAAAAACGTAAATCTATAACGCAATAAGAACGTAGTTGCCACGTACCGACCTGTGGACCCGTACGTGTTTAAAACGTTTTCTCGACGTTGGCGGAAAACGTAAATCTGTAACGCAATAAGAACGTAGTTGCCACGTACCGACCTGTGGACCCATACGTGTTTAAAACGTTTTCTCGACGTTGGTAGAAACCGTAAATCTATAACGTTATGAGAACGTAGTTTCCACGTCAGGATATTCATTCTAATTAGTGTCGTGTACGAACAACGTTCTAATTACGTTATTTGAAGGTTAGGTCGGACCTAACCAAACCACAACCAATTTAAAACGTTGTGTTTACGTACTGTGCTAGCTGGGTATGCAGTAGTGGAAATGACTTAGCAAAATTTCACTTACATCACATTCAAATAGGGCTAGCGCTGCCCCTGGGGGCATGTATGGACCTGGTTAACCATTAATTAAGGTCCAATGGTTTGTCCTTGACAATTTGGCATATTGATAATATAACCAGCGTGGCCATTAATAACTAACTGATATCATTATAGTTGTCAAACATGTAACACTTATATATTCACCCTTGAAACATAAAATTATTCAGGGTGGGTTGTCGAAAGCTTGTAATTATAGCTAAATCCTTGATTGGTGCAAAACTTCAAGCCAAATTTCCCAAAAGCTTGTTTATAAGCTTGAAAATATTTCCCATAAATCATGTATGCATCAATAGATGTTTATTTCCTGAGGTTCCCAAAATTTAACCAATGCTTTGAACAACTTGCTGGAACTTTTTTTAATTATAACTTTCTGAATAACCAGACTAGCTGGAATGTAAAGTGCGTACACCGGACTTGTCCAGTGTACAAACACAAACTTTGACATACATTTATAATGGCGTACATTTGTTTACATGCATAGACTAGTAATTGTTCAAATTCAACAAATATGAACCATATAGGTTTATACTAAAAAGGTGTATTTGGAATTTTTGCGCATTAAATTTTATATTTCCAAAATTGGCGTACAGTTGCATGAGCCTGAATCGATGTCCGGCATGCAAAAAGTTAACTTTCCAGACTGGTTGAATAACATTCAAATTTGGCTGTTTTATGTCCTTATCTGAATACAACTTAAATTCCTCCAGTGCTAGTACTTCTCATTGGATGATATTGATTATAATTAACCCATTATTGCCCAATATGTTTGATTGACCAAAATGACAAAATAGGACTTCATTTAACATGCCATAATGTACCTAGTACATGGATTGAGGAATTTACAGTGCAGGAGAGCTAGTGCCTTCAATGTATATATTATATTGTATTTCATATTACAGTGGATATAGATACATGTATGGTATAACATGTATCTATAACATGTATATTGTATGGTATAACAAATATTACATACTTTGTTATTTGAACGCTCCACTTGTCTCCAAAACAACCAGAAGGAATGACTAAGTTAACTTCGTCTCCAGGACAAATAAGCTTGTGGATACACTTCAGAAATTCTTTCGTATTTATTCCTATCTCCGCCTCGCATATATTCGTAGATTTTACATAAAATTTATTTTCACATTTGGTAGTGACATAGTTAACGGCCGGCTTCTCGTCTACTGAGCTCTGCTTTTTTGTATGTTTGCCTTTGGTCGGGGTTTCTTGCGAAAAAAATCCATCCAAAATTTCATTGTTCTCCTCGGCTTCAGGATATATATGGTCTTTACTGTTTAGTTTTTCCTTCAGCTCATCAATCAGGTCATGAGCCAGAGCCATTGCAATTTTTTCGTTTCCTGTTTTTTCTCTCCAAAATTCGAGGGCATATTGATATCGCAGTTTGTACGAAGGATCAGAAACTTGTAGCTTTAATCTTTTCTTGTTGAAATTCAATTCTTGCAAAGCACTTCTGATTTTTGTCTTTACTTTGTAGCGATCACTGTCTTTCGATATCGTTTTTTCAACAAGTTCTGCAAGGCCAAGAGTAGTAGTACTGGTTGACATATTATGATATTAGTACTTCAACTTGCAAACCGATATAAATTTTCACACTTTCGAAGCCAGATTCTTTGCAAACGTTTCCGATCATATGTCAAATTAAACAGAATCTCACAAATATGTAACCGACAACAAACTATAAAACGATAAATATGAAACAACAATCGCTTTGGTTTCATTTCTATTTCCAGGTATTCCAAAGCAATTCTTCGAAAACAGCGAGCCCGCACTCGGAAGCGACAAAAGCCGCATCTTGGTTTCAATCATAGATATAGTTTCAACTTTCAATAGCGTTGTCCGCAATTGACGTCACGAAAATTCGACCCCCCGCGAAGACTCAGACAAACATTGGCAACATTTAATATAAATAGTATTATGATTAAGAGCTTCCCGTGAGTTAGTTTAATAGTTTGATGTTTGTTTACGGTTTATTTGTGCGAAATCATACACACCTTGTACTTTTCGCTTTACCTGAAGTGCCAGTGCAAAATATTTTTGCTTTGGAAGTAGAAATATACAGTTTTTCGTCACTTTAGTATCGACTGTCATGTCGTTTCTATCATAGGCGGTGTCTACTGTATTATAATAGTACATGGTTTGGCGTAACTGTTGCTATAAAGAGGCCATAAAGAAAGGGTATGCAAAAGAAAGGGCGATAGAAAGTCTGTAGTAGCAGATATTTAACCGAAAAAATCTCGTAGTCGTACCAGATTTAATTCGTAGCCCTAGCGAATCAGTTCTAAAGTTCCCTATTTAATGTTGTTGATTTCATATTTATACTAACTTGTATTTTAATACTCGCTTTAGTGTGCATTATTTTATTACTTTAGACATCTCTTTTATTAATAGCAAAGTCCAAAGCCAAAGAAGCTAGGATTGTTTACTATAATCTATTGACCACATATTCAACTTATAAAATACGGATTTATTAGGAATGTAATTAAAACTAATACTTTCAAATTTAAACTTTTTTAAAAAATGTCAAAGATAAACTACAAACTCTATAAAATCTCAAATATATAGAGAATAATACATGGGTGCGCGGAAATACCAGATTTATTTCGAGTGTTGAACATGATATCTCACAAGTGAGCGCAGCGAACGAGTGAGATATTATGTTCAACACGAGAAATAAATCTGGTATTTCCAAGCACCCATGTATTTTTCTGTTTATTATATAAACAAAATTCAGTGAAAAACAATAAAACTTCCGTGGCAATGCGTTTTACAACAAATGATATTTTCACACGTAGAAATATCGTATTTTTTACGTGTGTTTAAATACGATTTTTCTCAGTGGTCAAAAACTCTATATAACACTTATGTTTATAAAATAAAAAATCTTCCGTTGACCAGTAAAACTATTTTGTTTTGACAATACAACAAAAATATGTTATTATAAAAACAACATTTTTATTTATCTATTTTTAAATATTCAGTTTTGTAAAATAGAGAACCGCCCTTTAACACTGTGTTAATTATTAAATAGCCTAACACTGTCTGGTAAACTATTGCTTCTCTCAGTCATAAATTTAACAACAGACGCTCTCACTGAAAACGATGGCGTCCCAGACTCATATTTTGAGCATGATCCATCTGCTTATACTGTCGATTAAACTCAAGAAGAGGTTAAAATGTAGAGGCCGGCTTATAGCAAAGCGGTATAAAACGCCAAGTTCTTCTTCAGCGAGTTAGCGATTGCTTTTAATAGTTCGGGAGAGCATCGTTCGCTGGATGTATTGACGGGGGAAAATGGTTAGCTGCGAAAGTTCTTGGAGAAAAACCAGCACAGTCCGCAGTCAATAACAATCAACACATTGCTACTGCAGACATTCCTGTCCCGTCCGATTTTTCAATTCCCTGTTTCGGCAGTTTTCTTAGTATCTCGAATCACTTGGACATGTTCCCCAGCAACAGTGCTTAGCATTAACCATGTTTGTAATTTGGGATAAATTTGAATTCGTTTTAGCACAGATAAAATAAATAAAAACGTCAATTTAGACCAATTTATGTTAGCTGCTAGTACAATTCTATACAAAATGTTAGTTTGTTTGTCTGAGTCTCGTGGGGGGTCTTCACTTGGAGAATCTATTTTTAGCTACTGCGGACAACGCTATTCCCGCTCCACTGACCTGTCTTATCAGCGGTTGTCTTCCTTAACTCATCGAGTGATGGAGCCAATTTACCGTACGCAAATTGCCCATTTCAATGTTTATTTACACTTTTGTGAAATGCAATATTTTAGTTTCATTATCATAATAACATGATGCTAATCAAAATGCATTTAAACTGAAAAGAACCCATCCGTCTCAAAAATGTAAATAAACATTGAAAGAGGGAGGAAAAGTATGGATCACGTTTCACAACGAAAAGAAAAGCCGTTTCACGATTCACGTGTCTTAAAAAAGCATTTTCACGGAAAACTAGATTCTAATAAAATAATATAATAATAATAGAAACTACATCATAATTTAGAAGGAAAGGCCTCTTATGCAATCGAGTAAGATCGTATAAATTGATTATCGCGTATCATGTCTATTATGACTATTATAAAATATATCGAAATAAACAAAGCAAAATCGCAGTTCACGAAACAGACATCCTTAATTCTCATCAGTTCACGGAGCATTTTTCACGCCTCACGGCTGTAGAACAAATCACATTTCACGACACTAAAACCAAGCATTTCACATTTCACGCGAACAAACATTGACCATACACGGCTCACAAAAATACCCTTTCCCACCTTCTTGAAATGGGCAATTCGCATACCCAGTGGCGTAACGTTATATCAGGGAGCCCCCGGTTCAAAATTTTCGAAGGCCCCCTAGTAGAAGGCACAAGTCGAGCGCCGTATATGCACGAGTTTTCTAGGGGATGCTCACCCGGAAAATTTTTGAATCTACACTCTCTGAAATACCATTTCCCGGACTTTGGGGAAAGATTTTACAGAATTCTGATGGTCAGAAAACGACATTGTAACATATCAGAGGCCCTGGCCAATGTTTTTGCTCTATAGCCTGAGCCTGGGGGCCCCCATTTGGCCCTTTGGGGTTGGCGGGCCCCGGGTTCTCCCGGTCCGAGCCCATAGTAGTTACGCCACTGTTCACTCTGGCCACTGCTTATGTCGACCATGAAAAAGTCGCGTAGGATGTTATCAATAAATATATGGTGAGGAAAATTACTATGATATATCATACTGGAGTTTCAAAGCGTTTGTGATTTGAACTAGTCTGCAAAGAATATGCGTTTCATTACATTAGTGCGTTATTAAAATACTGTATATACAATACGTGCAGACATGGACAAAGTCATGTAATCTTTGTATGTGTCACTTATTCTGTTCCAATTGCAGTTCATTATTAAAAGTACGGCCAGCCAAAATAATACAGTATATAGGACACTTTAGCCCCGTTTACACTACGCTCAGTTTTTGTTACGGCACGGATAAAGGTCCAAGAACCAAAAAAGGGGTACGGTACCAAAAATTGAACATAGTGCATGTAAACGGGTCTTTTGTTTATGTCTATACCACTCTGCAACACGATTATACGCCAACAATCAATAATTTCATGCATTCATTGCATTGGGAACAGCCTGGTCCTGAACTTGTTGTAAAACCTGTCACGGAACTAAAAGTTAATCTGATAGTTGAATATCGATATGTATATATCGATAATAGTTGATATCCTAGCGAAACTATTCGCAAATATATACTGTTTAATCGTTTTGATTGTTCAAATTCACTTTAGTTAATATCTACGTACATTAGCATGCAGTGTGTTTTCTAGGCCCGTTTCAGACGGCGTACTTCTCATGTGCCGAACTTAAAGCCTGATTTCCACTAGGCGGAATTTTGCGCGCGCAGCGGAAATTTTCTTTGTCTTTTCTAATTAGTTTCACCTGAGAAATCACAAGACAAAGAAAAATTACGCTCCGCGGCGCGAAAAATTCCGCCTAGTGGAAATCAGGCTTAATTGATGAATTAGGTACGGCAGAAGAGCGACGTATGAATCAATTAAGTATTTGTAATTGAATACGCCGCTGCGGCATACCAGCGGTATCTCAGTGGAAGAACGCACGAAAACGAGGCTAAGGGGTCAAAAAACACAAAACATGACCCTATACCTCGTCTCGATGTCAGGGCCGTAGCGAGGGGGGTATTGGGGGGGTGGTTAACCCCCCCAACTTTTGACATATTCGGAAAATGGGATGGCCATTCGGAAAATTACGGCAATTATAGTATATGGTTTTTGTACGAAAATCATGAGATTCAGGCAATTTTTAGCTAATATCTCACTTTTGGTATGTCCGGAAAAAATTTTTGATCCTTAAAATGGTACACTGACCGAAATTTTTTAGGCGACGGGGGGGGGGGAGTTCGCCAAGAATTTTCGAAAGTTCGGAAATTTTCTTTGTCATTCGGAAATTTTTGGCCTACACCCCCCCAACTATAAATGCTAGCTACGGCACTGCTCGATGTTAAAATAATGCAGATACCGCTGGTGCGTAGCATAGACGTGTTCAATTACGATAACAGCTATTGAAGTGTTCCTCAAATATTGATTCAATACGAGTTTGGTCATTTCACGAGTCAAGCTCGAGCCCGAGTCACGCACGAGTCACGATTCAAGCACGAGTCACGAGTCAATTTCGAGTCATGATCAACCTATAAACTTCGTTTTTGCGCTTTTAACGTTAATTTGACAATTTTTATAGTTTAATTCAATTTTAATGCAGGTAAGTATACTTTATGTCTTGTTTATGAAATTGCGCATCTTACTGTATTTACATTCTCACCGTCGCTTGTTGTTTGTTGTTCCACAAACCTGACTCGGCCCAGTCGCTTATCTTGCGTTGAATAATAAAATGGGAATGCGATGGTTTATTCCCATATGCCTGGGCGTCCTTTTACAGCAAAGGCCATGGAACCGCTATATATTTGTGGGACTGTGGACGAGCCAGTGTACAGACAAGTGAGACCTGGGGCGTAACTACAGGGGGTG